GGGGCGGGGGGAGGGAGCCAAAGATACAGCCTGGGGCCTGGAACCAGCCCCTGGAGCCCTGTCATCTGGCTCCTGGTGATGACCTTAGGTGTCAAAATAGACCCAAAGACCACATACAGTGCCTCCCCAGCTGGTCCCACGCTGCACACAGCACCTGTTCCAGGACCTGTGTTACACATGGTGCCTGACGGTGGGCATCAGGTGAGGTACATGTCCTGAAGCAGGTGAGGTGGGCACGGTCATGCACACAGCATGTCCCAAAGCAGGCAGAGTGGATGGCAGATCCAGCATGCAAGGTACAGAGGGGCACAGGCCCAATTCAGCCTGTAGACAGGCTCCATACCACTCATCTGGGGCACAGGGGCCAGATGAGTTCAACAGCCCTGTCTTTGGGCAGTCCACCAGAACGCTGGTGAATGAGATGGAAACAACGCATTTACACATGGTAACAAAGGCTTGGCAAAGATCACCAATAAAGTACTAATCCTTCCACACTTAGGTTTGCTGTGCCTTTGAAATACAGAAAGGGATGGATTATTAAACCTTTGCAACAAGCATGGGAGTACTGGGTCTTTTTCCAACCATGTTTCATGCTCACTACATTAGCAGCAGATTCTGCCAACTCCTGCAGTCAAAGTGCTGATGTTCACAGGCCCTCAGAGAGGAGGCTGAAGCTGTGGGCATTCCCTAGCCGCCCTTTCCCCTCCAGGTTGCAAGGCTAGCCGAAGGATGTCCCCACTGCTACACCTATTTACCTTCACCAGGACTGACCCATGCCTGCTCTCTGATAGCTCTCAAGGGCACCTGCTCTCAGGTCTACAAGATCAGAGCCTGAGTGTTGCAGGTGGATTAGGGACTCCTATTTGGGTTTAAGTTACAGTTGTATGGGATTACAGAATCATAGAAAATGAGGGTTGGAAGGGACCTCAGGAGGTCATCTAATCCAGCCCCCTGCTCAAAGCAAGGCCATCCCCAACTAAATCATCCCAGCCAAGGCTTTGTCAAGCTGTGCATTAAAAAACCCCCAAGGATGGAGAGATTCCACCACCTCTCCAGGGCACCGATTCCAGTGCTGACACCCTCCCAGTGAGAAAGTTTTTCCTAATATCCAAGTGAACCCTCCCCGGCTGCAACCAGAGCCCATTGCTTCTTGTTCTGTCACCTTCACCACTGAGAGCAGTCCAGCTACCTCCTCTTCCTAACCCCCTTCAGGTAGTTAAAGGCTGCTATCAATCCCCCTCCCCGCTTCTCTTCTCCAGACTAAATGAACCCGGTTCCCTATGGTGTATTTATGGGCTGGTTTGGATAGGGCTGATCCTGCCTCGGGCAGGGGCTGGACCAGATGCCTCCGGAGGTAGCCAAAACCCCCCGCCGCGAGGGGAGCAGCGGATCCCCGCGCTGGAAGCAGCCGGAGCCCGGCGTGAAGTCGCGGGGCACTCCCGCAGCCGGCAAACCCGCCCCTAGGGGGAGGCGACAAGCCGGGCGGGGGCTGCCCGGCAAAGCTGCAGCCGCCCCTGCCCGCCTGCGCCCGCCGTACCGCACGATCAGCAGCCCGCGCTGCAGCTGCCGCCGGACCTCCAGGAACATCCCTCCCTCCATGCGGCGCAGCCCGGACCCCCGCGCCCACGTGGGGAGCGGCCCGCCCAGGAAGGCCCTGCAGGCGCTCGCGCCCGGCCTCCCTCTGCAGCGCCTCTGCAGTTGCAATGCCCCTGACACCGTGTGCCTGCTCCAACCCAGAGACCAGAGCCGCTCACCCCGGGAAGCAAATGCATGTGCAGCCCCGGTCCTCCGCAGCGGCCTCACTCAGGAGCAGGCGCTGCTCCCTGCAGCCACCTCCCCGCGTTGCGAAGAGCAGGGATCTGGTGGCCTAACCCGGAGTGAGCCAGTTCCTGCTGCCAGCCAGCTGGCCTGGCACCGGCGACGGCTGTTAGACAGGCGCCTTCTGATTTTACAGCCTTAAAATGTCTAATTTGAAGGGGGTTGTTAAAAGCAGTTCGGTGCCCCCTCGCTGCGGAAGGAAAAGGGCACTTTGTTATTGGTAGGAATAGTGCAGGCAGCTCCCATGGTTTTGTTCGAGTCTTTGCAGTACAAGGTGGGTTTATTAAGATGCTCCACTCCTGAATGAGCCAGGGAGAATAGAGAGAGAAGTTACTACCTCTCTTGGTTGCAGAGTGGCTTGAAAACACAAACCACATGGTTCAAAAGATAGAAAGCAATTCTAGGCTTAAAAAAAACCAAAGCTGCCATGATTTTTTGAGGCCCTGTGACTCATGGCTTTTGGATCCCTGCAGCTGAAAATCCTGCTTTTTGGGTTGGCATAAAATGCACCTTTTAAAGTCAAAAGTGTAGGCTAGAATGTGGCAGGCAGGAGTTTAGTTGAGTTGGATCAGCAAAAAAGACTTTGTGCTTTTGTAGCAGACACAATAATTTGATGATATAGACCAGTGGTGATCCACTTGTTTCCCTGGTTGGTCTGTGGGCCAGATCCAGCCAGTAGTCCCAATGCAGCACCAAAGGCAGGTGCAGTGGGCACCATTCAGCTGTGCAGATGGGGAGGGGGGCCCAACCTGCCAGGGACAGGATCTTGACCTGGCACCACAGGACAAAGAAAAGGGGCATAGCTTCACCTTGTGGGGGAAAAGGGGCTGTGGCCTGGCCCCACAGGCAGGGAAGAAGTGTGGCCCAGCCCAGATAGGTTGCAGGAGAGGAGACATGGCCCAACCCCTCAGTGGAGAGGGTCACAGCCTGGCCCAGCCTCCATCACCCATATAGGGTTTGAGATTTTGAAATTTGGCAGGGATGATACCACTTTCCTGCCCGCAAATTTCCTCCGCAGGCCAAATGAGATGGTTCTGTCGGCCAGAGATCAAGTACCCCTCAAACAGACTATATTTTAAAACATTCCTATTACACCGTTATTCTTAATCATTTTTATAAAAATAATGGAAATTACTAAAGTTTATACAGTGTCTTTCAGTCCTGGCAGTTTTACAAACAAATGTACAAGCTTGAACTACCACTCAGCAAAATGGTCCATACAAGCAGATTGTCATAGCCATGTAGAATCTCCTAGGAGGATAGGGGATCTGGTCTGTGGTTCACAGTGCTGCATAGAAACTTTAGCCTCTGATCTCACAGCTTCATCCATGAGTGCTCAAAGTTGTGAATGATCAAACACAGGATTGCATTCTTATACATTTAGAAATAATGTAATCTGTCACTGAATCCTGCCATTTCTGGGGAAATATGTTTAACAACACACACAGACACTGCAGAATATTTCCAGAATACTACAAAGAACTTCACATACAGGATGACTTGAATTAAAGTAGTTCCTTACCTAGAAAGAAATTAAGCCTTCATATGTATGTTTGTAAGGATTTAACTGGTCTACCTGGAGCTATATGCAAGCCAGGGCCCAAGGATTTGTTAGGCCCCATCTACACATTACACTTAAGATGTGATTAACCAGTTAATTATGTCTTAAGTTGTGACCCAGCTTCAGGTTCAGTCAATTAACAGCATGATAAAACTAGCAATAAGCCACAAAGCTGTTCCACTATAAAATGTGTAAAAACTTTGTGCCTTGTTCTTATCATGCCATTAATTGAACATATGGCCAGTTGCTCTCCTCTGGCTGGAAGCCTCAGAGATACTTAAAGAGTTAAATAGATTCAACTCTAAGTATCTCACTGCAAGCCATTTTCTTCAGCCCTGGAATTATTCTTACAGTTCTTTTCAGCTCCATCTAATTCTTCTGTATTGTTTTTTAAAACACTGACACCAGAACTATATGCAACGTTCATATTAATGTGCAGCATCAATAATTCTTCATTTAAGGTAAAAGCTGTGCGGGCCGGGAGCGACCCGAGCCCTTTTCCGTGCTGCACGCGGGCTGTGGCCAGCAGCCCGGGCACGCCGGGTCGGAGAGGGAAGGCCGTTGAGCTGGAATTAGGCACAAATGCGCAGCAGTAGTTTAAAAGATTGTTTACTTACACCAAGATGGCAGTGGTGTAGGCTGGAAAGCTTGCTTGAGTTGCGGTTACAGACAGACAACAAAACAAAACCTCGAACCTGCAGGGCACGAGGGTACGTCGCAAAGGGTTCTGGCGACAGGAAGATGACAAATACGAGGGTACGTGGCAAAGGGTTTCGGCGATGGGAAAATAAACCTGCAGGACTCAAACCCGGATAGAAGAGCTCTGAGGCCGGTCGTAAGGGCTCACACAAAGTTTGCTAGGCTCCGTGGGTTCTTCTGTTCACTCACTCACACGAAGTTTGCTAGGCTCCGTGGGTCCGGTTCTCTTGCACGCGGGAAGGGATACGTCTGGATTGCGCTCGGTGACGGGGAGAGGCTAGAGGTTGATCAGACCTCCGTTGCCTGTTTTAAATACACTGGGTCCGTAAGGATCCGCAGCACTTGGAGATCTTCACACAGTGTGAAATCTCCTCCTCCCTTGTTCATGGAGTCCTCCAACTTGGGCAGAAACCACTCAAGCCTCTTATACGGCTAGCAAGCCAATCACTAGCCGCCACATGTGAATAATTTAGAACTGGCCAATAATGGGACTCAAATTAGCATACAAATGGCGGGAACTTTTTGCAACGAGCATTTCTGTGCTGCAACAAAGAAATGCACCCTGCAAAGAAAGCTTCAAATTGGCAGGAAATTCTCCCTTGCACCGGGGTTCTCTTTTGCAGCGGAAAACTCCACCGTGCAAGGAAGCTATAATTTAGCGGGAACAATTTAGCAGTGCTAAAGCACACAAAAACAAAAATCACACCCTTTGGGTCGAGACAAAAGCATTATCCTACGTTAGTGGGATCAAGTCTTATGGGTAGGTGGGCCATAAATTAAATCCCACACCCTCTCCAAGTGTCAGTCCTGCCTGAGTGCTGCACTTCTTTTTTTAACTCTGTCCCCTTCCTGATCTGGTGTGTACCACATGAAGAAGCTGCTCATGCTACTTGTGGCATTTTTGTTGCAGGTTGGCCACCCCTGTCCTACATATTGCTAAATGTGGACAATAGAGGGTGAGTCAGTCATACACAGACCTTCCTAATGAGAAATACTGTCTTACATATGTAGTCACAAATACATAATGCATGTGTGTACATGTCTATAAAGACACTCACACTTGTAAATAAAGGCATATACACTTCACCTACACACAAACAGTTTCACACAGTTCATACACACATCCACATGTATGCATTTTCCCAAACACATGCTCACACACAAAGTGAATTTAAGCATCAAGTGCAAGAGAGTTGACTGATAGTAAGACCATAGCTTATAAAACAAAAATAGGGGTCTATTTTTCTTTATTAGGGTACATATAATAGACAATCCAAATGTAAAAATTAAAATCTTCACCACTTTTAATACTGGAAGGAGAGAATCTCACATAATCAAATGGATTCCTGGTGCAGAAGCTTTAAGAAAAACACCAAACACTGTGATAAAACAGCAAAAGACAACCACACAGAATGCAATAAAATCAACTTCTTATATGTTGTGGGGGTGGAGAGGAGAAAACCACCCCTCCCCACCAACAAATAATTAGAAACGTTCTTGAGTTTTGGTATATATCAGGGAGCCAGAAGCTCCTGTAACTTTAAGGAGAGAAATGTCAACAGCTGAGGCCCACTGATAGAAGCAGGCAACTGAACTGGGGCCAGCTACAAAAGAAGAGATATGTGGGGAGCTAAAGGGCTGCAAATAACTACCTAGTAGCTAGCTGTACAGCAATAGGCTAGGGCTCCAGATAGGAAGAGAATAACAACTCCAGCAGCCAGGAGAATGCTACTAAACTCATCATTAAGCTTAAGAGCACACCTTTCACTTGTCAGGGAAACACCTGACCAGAAGAGCTCATGGAATATAAGCTTGAGTCTCTGATACAGGACTAGTAATGCTTTGAACTCCATAAAGGGAAGAGCCCCTGCTAGCCTAAGGTGGCAAGGAGCAGAAACTACAAACCAGGTCCAATATGCCCAGGGACTAAGAGAGCTTGTGTGTGGGGGAGTTAGCTTTGATAGTAGTATGATAGCTCAGAGGGGACTTTTAACATGTTTAATTTTGAAGTAGTTTGCCTACCTTTGTTCTCCAGTTCAAACTGGAGTGGTTGTAGGGTTGGTTAGGCCATATAGTTTCCCAAGAGGTACTTCAGCTCTACTGAGGCCATGAAGGCCCAAATCTGTGTCTAAGAGGGAGACTGGGGCAGGCTGAGGCCAAGAGGGCTGACGTCCTATGCTAGGAGTCAACAGCTAGAGCAACCAGTGAGCTAAAGCCAAGAGGGCTGAAGCCTGTAGAGCGGGGTGGGCAATTATTTTGGGCAGAGGGCTGCTTACTGAGTTTTGGCAAGCCACTGAGGGCCACATGACAGGCAGCCAGGAGCAGATGAGTATTAATTTTCTAAATTTTTTTAGGGGCCCTGTGGACCGAATAGAATGGCCTAGTATGCTGTATCCTACCCGCAGGCCGCGTTTTGCCCACCCCTGCTGTGGGTCTTGCTCTTCACCAGCCTCTACAAGACACGGGAGTGGCTATGGGGAGGCTGGAAGCCATGGCTAAGGTTCTTAAGGTAGTTCAGTGCCTGCAGGCAAGACTGGTCAGAGAAGGGAAGGAAGAGAGGAAGCTGAAGGCTGCTGCAACTAATGTCCTCAAGGTGCTTTAGTGCTTGACAAGACTGCTGAGAGGGAGAGGAAGAGAGGTAAATTGAGGCTTGCCTTCAGGGCCCTGGGGTAGACTCCTAAAGAACTAAAACATCCATCAAGTTGTGGCAGGTGAGACAGAGGGTACCCTGTGGGGCCAAGGTGAGGTAGGGGTTGCTTGGCCACCAGAGCGTGTGATGGCCTCCCTTGGGTGAAAGATAGAGAGTCCTGTAAACTGGATTCCATGTCTCAACACCAGTTACAGGTGTGGTGAAAAGCACCTTGAAAATGACATGATTGAGAGAAACACTATAGTCTCCTGCAGTGCAAAAGTTTGGGACTGTCCCATGGGGTCCAGCACCCCCTCTGCAGAGTGATAAGACTGCCAGTGCTGTTTAACAGACCCATGTACGTGGTCTAGATTATATTCTACTCATGGCACTTGCTCTAGTCATCAGGCATGTGAATGCTGCAGGGCTGTGCCTACCCATGGGTTCATTAAGCATCCTAAACTCTCTTCTACAATGACAGTCCAGTCACTGCCGGCCTCCCTTCAGGGTCTTACTGCCTAGGGTTGCTGAGGGACTATGAGTCTGAAAATAATTTACAAATAAGTTTATTGCAGCGTATTTGCTACGAGAAGTGAAGCTTAACACTGATAAGACTTGCCAAGATGTGTAGTCCCCATTCTTTGAAATGGCTTAATATACGCAGCAAGTGACAAAGCAAAGCCAAACAAAATAACAGCCCTGCGCTTTAACAGAAAACAATTCGCTGTCAGGTGGCTGCTGTAAGTAAAGCGTCTTGCTTCAGAGCCCTGCTGCCTGGCTTGGAGTTTCCCGATGCCTAGGCAGAGCCTCCCTATGCCTGAAGAAGGGCGTTTGTGCCTGAAAGCTTGCAAAAAATTCCCCTCACCCCGCAACTATTCAGTCGGTCTCATAAAAGATATCCCGTCTCCCTAAAGACCCTTGCTTGGCTTTGAAGAATCACAGAGAGGAGGAGGAGCTTTTAAAGGCCCGGCTACACAAAGCCTATGCTGGGATGAGGATGAGGGTCTCGGGCTGCAGACACCTGTGAGCGCATCTGTGCCGGCAGAACGGGCGCCTGCAGCCGCATTTCCTCCCAATACTCGCCCGGGAGTCGAGGAGAGACCTGGTGCCCGGCGGGGCCGGTAGGGGTCGCTGTGGCGCAGGTGCGCGGCTTGAGGCGGGGAGGAGGAGGGACGGCCGGGCGCGCTGCATGCCGGGACCTGTCAGCGGCCGCTCCGGTGCGTTGCACTCGCGGGCTCTTCCGGCTCGAGCCGCGCAGGTAACCGCCGCCGCCGGCTGGGGGGTCATTCCCCTCCCCCCAGCTAAGCGGCCTCCGCAGCGGACTGTGGTGGCCGGCGCTGTCCACTGGGGCGGCCTTCAAAGCTGCGGTCCTGCCCCGGTGTGCGCCCCCCGGGAAGGGGCCGTGCGGGGACGAGGGAGGCGGGAGGAGATAGGCAGAGAGGCGCAGGCTCGTGCCCGCCGGGAGGACCCCCAGGCCCTGTGCAGAGAGGCGGGCGCTGCCCTGTAGCCGGCTCGTCTGAGATGTGGTGCCCCACAAAGTCAGGGTGGGCTGCCTCCAGCCCAGGCCTGTTTGTTGTGCCGCTGGGCGTGGGTACAGTAAAACTGTAACCCTGCTTAAGAAGGCCTCTGAAGACGTAGCGATTGATTGCTTGGGACAAATAAGAGGAAAATGGGGGAAGGAGTGAGAATCTGGGGCTTATAGTGAGTGCATCCCCTACCCCTCAGCCCTCAATGTTTCCAGGGCAGGGGGAGTGCCCTGAGTCCTGCCAGGTTAAGAACCGCTGCCTTAAAATGTGGCGTTGGGCTCCTTGAAGCCGCCCCTACCATGTACTGGGGTTTTGTGGATGATCCAGTATCAGGAGCTGACCGCGCAGTGTTATTTTACTGTGGATTGAGAATGCACTTCATCGGGGCCACTGGAAAATGAGACTTGAGGGAAGGTTTGTAGCCTTCATTTGCTGACTATCCTGGGTATTTGATGTACTTGTATTTTGTTTTGTTTTTATTTCTGTTGAGTCGGCAGATGCGTAAAAACCCTATAAGTGTGTGTCTAGTCCGCGTCTTTTCTCTGGGCCTGTCAAGTTACAAATTTAATCTGTGATACTGTTATAATAGGAGTTGGCTCCAGCTTCCCTTGTCCATATTTATTCTGGAAGTGCTTTATCAGCATATGAATACTTGTATATTGAACACCTATGGTTAGGCACTCCTAGTAACATTACTAACTATGTGTGTAAAAAGCTACACTTTTAAGAGCAGTTTTGCAGGTATAACTACATCAGAACTAGGGTTTCTTCTGGGGTGCTTGTGTCTGTCCATGATCACATCTCTTTACGTGGTCACAAATATTTTTTGGCTTAAGTCATTAGTGTAGGTCTGGCTTTATTTTCAAGCTGTTCTTGTGCAGCTGAAAGATTCTGTGTATTGAGCAAAACTGATGATTAGTCTTCTGTCATCTTCCCTCTGTTAGGGCAGTCTGGGTCTTAGAAGGGCAGGGAGAAGATAAGACTTCAGCAAGGACGAGAAAGAAGAGGAATGCCAGAAAACAAATTCCAAAAATGGCTGTGCTGTGTCAGACAAAGAAGAAACAGGGGTAGAAATACCAGTTGAAGGGAATATGGAAGGGAAGAATAGAAGTAAATTGCTTTAATATTCAAGTTGAGATTCTGTTTGAGTTCATTGGCTTACCAAATAAATAGCGTCAATCAGACTAGCAATTGAAAGAAGCTCAGAAATAAAACCTTCCTGAATTTTTTTAATTTTCTTCCATTTGAGAATTTACTGGGTCAAGAAGGGGTGTGAGATCAATTGTATTATCTAGTTTCTGAAAACAGAAATGAAAAATTAAAGTACTGAACCATTTAAAAATATTGTGACGTAATTATAGTGTAGTTTTTTTTCTGTTCCAAGCTGCTAAAATGACAGGGTCTTCTGGGTACAGCTATTGTCTTTCAGAGAGGGCTGAACAGTTGTAGAACTATCAGAATGCAAATGTGCAAGCCAAAAACTTCTGCCTCTTTAAACAGGGAAGACACATTGGAAACATACCTGCTGTTTTCAGCAGTATGTGGTAGCTAAACATATAGACCAGTCAGTGATGTTCAACCTTGTCCCTGTGCACCAGATAAGTCATGCAGGGTCAGTCTGTGCCCCAGACACAGTATGGGGTCGCCACGCAGGGTCTGTCTGTGGGTGTGATCTGGCATTGCCCAAGCCTGCTACAGTGACCAGGCACATCAACATGATCTGGCATTCGGGGCTCCCAGTGTTTCCAGAAATTTGGCCTTGGGGGAACTGAGGTAATTAATGTTGCCACCTTTCCCCTGCTGTCTGCAGAGACCCGCAGGCAACATGATGTGGCTCTATGGCTCTGATTTGACCATGGGCCAGATGCTGAACCCCACTAGTAAGGACCGATTCAGCCGAACAGCTAAACACATGCTTGACTTCAAACATGTGAATTAATCCCATTGATGTCAGTGGGACACCTCAGATACTTAAATGTTTTACTGGATTGGGGTCATAGTACCAAATGTAAAACTGCAATGAATTTAATTCTCTTCATGTTATTTTCCTTTTTTGTACACCTCCGTATTTGAGAAAGGGCATAAAGGAGTGGAACACCTGTTTGCCCAACTTCTAGTCTCAGAAGAGATCACTAAAATAGTTATGCCCTATGACTCTCTTGAAAATAATTTGTGAAATATATGAAATGAAATATACTTCAAAATATTCACAATCTAGATGATGTTTGGAATATGTATGGTATATGATGGGAGTGGGAAGCCTTCCTAACCTTTTTACCACAATCCAGAATTTTGACACAGCCGAGAGCTGCAAGACCAGAGGTCTGTGCACTGTACCTTAGCTCAGATAATGATGTTACATGACTTTCTTCATGACCTGCATTTAAACCGTCCAGAAGCCACTTATGTCCCATGTGCTATGATTTGGCTGTTCTTCAGATGATGCACTATCCTAATACAGAAAAGTCAGAAGAGAAAATACGTTTCTCTCTCAGCTTTGTTTCTTTGTTTTCTACTTTGTGTACTGTTAGATATAAAAAATAGACCACTGCACAAAAAGTTTTCTCATCTTTTTCCAACAATAAAGTATGTGAACACATACTTTTTTCTTATTTTAAAAACTATAGTAAATGTAGTCATACAAGAATAGTAAATATAGGACAGTGAAATTAAGAAGCATCTTGTTGCAGAGCCCAAGTTCTCAGGAGAAATAGAGAAGTCCTATAAAATGTGGTGCACTGCAGGCTTTAAGCATAATACTTGTGATGTAATGGATTTGGAGGTGTTTTGGAATAACTATGTAGAACAAAGCTATGTCAGGATAAAGGAAGAACTCAAGCTAGTTTAGAAAGGAGCAGTCATGGGAGATGGGTGGGGAGAGGATGGACACTGAGCTGAGACCTGAGCATTTGCTGTGGGTATCTAAAAAAATAATAATAATGCCTGTTTAGGTTAACACCAGCAGATGGAAATCCTTTAAATATGAGAGATGCATGTAGCCTGTTTTGTTTTTTGAAATCTTTTTTTCTCTCAATATGTTGTCCCTTCTGACTGGGGGGAGAAAACAAACAGAAATACCATAGGGCTGTCTCATGCTTGCACATAGACTCCTGAAGTGAAGATCTACAGGTGCATGCAGTTTTTCAGGCCTTGTGGATAAGAACAGTTCATACAGCAGAGCTGCCCATCTACAAATGGGAAAATTGTGGGATTCTACTATGTGATAGATAAGGCCTTAACACAGAGGGTTTCACTCAGATTATTAGGAAGAGGTCAGGGTGCACCTCACTTGTACCCATGACACTTCTGCCTGTGAATGTTTTGTCATGTTTGTGCCATGTTTTGTCACTGCAAGACTTGTTTGTCACTTGGCACCAGAGTATCTAGCTATGGCACATGTTCTAGTCTCATTTCTGTACCAGCTAGCCTGCCTTGTGAACTGCTGAGTTTAAAAAAAAAAAAAAAAAAAAAAAAAAGCTTGTCTTCTAATACACAAATGATCACTCTACAGACAACCTCCACCTTTTTTTATCTGTGGATCCAATTGTTAACAGTTATTCAGTATAGAAGAGCAGGTCCCCATCCATCTAGGGATATATGTAAACTAAAGGCAAGATATTTCAGCCTCACAGGACAAGCTATAAACCAATTATTAGTTGTTGTTCTGGGAGCCAGTGACGTGTAAGCAATACATTACAAAATAATACATCTCAAGGAACTTCTAGGTAAGAAAGCAATGTTTCTGTTCTTTTAACAATATTGATGCAACTTTGGAGAGCTTTCAGAAACTAGCAAATAATATCTGTAAGAGAATCTCTTTAATGTTTGAATTTGCTTGTGACATTATTAGGACTGTAGTTTGAAGATTTAATTAGAGATATGTAAAGGATTACATGTTTTAGGAAGCTTTGGAAAATACCTTTACAAATAAAGGGTCCACGTCAAAGAAGAAATGTAAACTAATATAGAAATTTAAGTTTTAGCAGGACAATACAAGCTCTATGAACTGGCATGAAGGGAACTGTAGTAAAAAAGAGACATTGAAATATGAAAGAAGCATAGGTCAAATATTCTTTTTTTTCTTAAATATGTAATTGAACGAAAGGGAAAAAGCAGTTCTGAAACTGATGGGTTTGGTGTATTTGTTTAGGGGGGCTGCTGTTTCAAATACAATTGTAGGTTATATAGTGATTAAGAGAATAACACAGAAAATAATGACCATTGGGGCAGATAAGGAAAGCAACTTCCAACAAATATTTCCCATTTGGATATACATTTTGCTACTAAAATCTGACTGGAGTTTCTAAACAGAGTCTGAAGAATCTGTAATATTTTTCTGGAATGATCAAAATGTCACCTGAAATGATGAATTCAGGTATTTGCTGGAGTTCCTTTTGTTTTGTACCTGAAATAGATGTTGTTTGTTTTATTTTGAGGAAAATACCTTTAATTATTTTGATTAGTTAGTAACCAGAAATAATTAGGATTTCCAGGTTTTATTATAGTGATACCTTAAATATAGAATTTTAGATACTTGCAGAGTAGTTCAGTTTTTTGATATAATAAGACTCATGTTTTCCATAAGTTATGAATCCAGGAGATGGGGACCATAGTGAACATCTAGTACAGGGGTAGGCAGTTTCTTCCAGCTGTGGGCCGGAATAACCAACCCCATGTCAGAGATGGGTAGTCAGACAGGTGCTTTGCACCCTGCAACCACATCTGTTTATCTTCCTGGTGGCATGGAGAGAGTGCCTTGCAAAAGAGTGCCCCCTGTCACCGAATGCTGCAGGCTTGAATGCTGACGGCTCTGGTCTGTGGGCTGTAGGTTGCCAACCCCTGATCTCGTCTAATCTGTACAAGCTTCCTCAATGAATTCTTGTTCAGACTAGAGCAGATCTCTTAGGAATACATCTAATAATGATTAAAAATGTGTGGTTGGTGGATAATCCACTGACTTTTACAGTAAATTAAATTGTTATCCATTAACTGGGGGTAGAAATGAAATTTGGCTGTACACGTTGGTGGCTTCCCAAGGGAAAAGTATAACAGAACATTATTTCAGAATGAATTCAAAGTGTGTGTGTGATGGGAGGAAGGGGAGTTAGTGCACTTAGTAGTAGTAATAATAATAATAATAGTAATAGCACTGCAGTTATGCAGTGTCGTAATATTTGAAACCATCTGAGAAAGAAAGATGATGTTTGTAATGCTACAGGGAAGTGACAAGTTTAGGTCCAGTAGCATAGGTATGATACAGCTTTTGAAATGTGAGGGTTATTCTCAGTGTGCTGTGTTGCTTTGAATAATAATTGAAAGAAAGTAGTAACTTCAAACAGTTCCTAATATTAGAGATTTCTATCAAAATATGACAAATTGTGAATAAAAGAGACTTCTTGGAGAGGAAGAACTGT